CTGCTGTAGCTGAACCCAGGACACTGGGAGACCCAGGTGAAATCTGTTACTGGAAAAGACTATCCCTAACTGATTTGCCACAATGCTTTTCTGTGTTGGAGAGATGTGGGAGGTGGTAGGGGAATAAGGGAGAAGGTTTCTAGATCCTGATTCACGTAAGACTTGCCTACTTGGTTTCTAAAACCCCAAAAATCAGGAGTACCATCAATTTCACTCAGTTTTTTTGTGACTGTGATGCAGAAATTTGTAGGCAGCTCTGGTACAGCTTCAGGATTGAGAGCAGGTCCTTACAAATTTGGCTTAGAACTGTGGCCACATCCAATCTCTGATAGAAAAAATGTTGAAGATGTGGGAAATCGGTTTTTAAAAAGGCAGAGGGGTTTGTCTGAAAGAGGAAGTAGATTTTGATAAATTGTTAATGTATTTGTCTGAATCTTGGTTTGACAGGATACACAGCTTCTTATTCTTCTGCCTTGTGTGATCTAAGCCTGTTCAATTCTTTACAAGTTTTCAATTTTAGTTCTTTAAGGGGGTCCTGGGAAGATTATTTTGTCCTTAGAATGGCCTTTTTGATGGTTGTTGAGCCAGAACACATAAATCAGCAATGTTTCATTTTGTAATTTCCTGTCTTGGTTTGATGAGCAAAACCTGTCATTATCTCTATAAAGCTTGAGTAATTTTTCATACCATTTTCTTTTGAAGATGTGTGTGCAGACCACAACAAACAGGCTGTGAAGGCTTACCTAAGGAGATTTCCAAAACTTTCCTTTGAATTGCAGTTTAGAATTGGTTCAGAGAAGAGTAAGAAAAATGGGAAGGTGAATGCAAGTTATTAGAGCAGGTAGAAAAGGACTGGCACATAAATTCATGGAAAAACATGCTTTCTTATTTCTGTTGCTTATAGAATAATTTGTTTGAGTATCTTATTTGCTGGTAAGATAAGTAACATCGGAAACCTTTGGTACCATAACATGAAACTGTTTATTTTCTGAACCGGAATTAACAAAACGTATCTAAAATACTCTGATTTACTTTTGATAGCAAAGCTTGCTGAAGAATGAGCAAAATCAAGAAGAAATGATACTTCACTTCCTTCTGGATCTGTCTAGTCAGTGTGGTGTCTCATTTCCCTGTACTCCAAGTGAGACGTCTTTTGTGTTAACATCTTCCCTTCATGCCATTGAGGATGATTCGACTATGGATGTGAAATCTCTCTGGGATGATGTGAGATTGCATCTTCGACGATTTTTAATAAACAGACTGCAAAGTCAAGAAGAAACAGCTACTAATGCTTTACAACAACAAATGGAGTTTAAAACTCAGTGCATTCAGCAACTTCTGTTTCTTTACCCTGAGTCAGAAGTCTTAGCGAAGTATCAAAATATGCAAAATAAAGTGGTTCGAGATCTTCTACAAAAATGTATTTTGTCTAGCTGTGGTGAAACAAACTTCGATAAGGTGGTTCATGGTTACCAAAGTTCCGTACCCACATTGTGCACAATGATAAAAGAAGATTTGTGTCTGCTATGTGGAACTATTGATCCTTCTTCATCACTGAAGTTTATTAATGAAACTTATCTGGTTACCATCACTGAAGAAATGACAGTTCTTCTTGAAAGACTTTGTGAGCTGCAGTTCAAAGAAAGTGCTCTACATATAGTTAAGGCAAACAAGATTTCAAAGAAGCATAGAGGAACAGTTCATGCTGTGGGTTAGTAACCTTATTTTATGTCCATTGTGGTTAGATATTATTTTAATTATACTACTTTTTTTCAATGTACTTTATTATTTCCTATGAGAGAGGCCTGAGATTTTTAATTGCAGCTTTATGTTTTAACCATATTATTGCAGTTGAATTATAGACTATTTCAAAATTGTGATGAAAAAGGTTTTAAAGTTAGGGAGAGTATCTTCTTACGTATGTAGAAACACAATTATAATTCCATGGATAACATTGTCACATCACAGTGATTTTTTTCAGTCTAACTTGTTCCAACTGTGGAAATGTGTAATAGAATAAAAACTATTTAATCCAGGTTTAAGAAAACGTAAACTCTTCTGCTGCCTACCCCCACTTTTTCAAATTGTCAGGAGTTTAAAGGATATTATAGGAAAGTCTGTGCAATAATGCAACCATAAAATAGACACAGATTCATACATCAGAGCTGACCCAAAAGATTGCTATGCAGATTCTAATTCTAAAATAAATAATATATTTAAGTTTTTTGATCTTGTGAAAATACGGTAAGTTAGAGTTAATGCTACCTGGTCCGTCCTTCTTGTTCTAAGGAATTTAAAGCAGGAAAGGAGTCTGTTATGGATGTGGTATTTTCTATGCTTTCCAAAGCTGGTGAGTCTAACATGCTGATTTCTAAAAGGAGGAATCAGAACTTTAGAAAAAAGTCATACAGAATGGAAACTTTCATCACATAGTTGCATGTGCAAGAGCTGTTTGTTCAAAACATAGCCTTCCATAAAAGCAAAGTAGTTTGCAGACAGAAAATATTAAAATTTTAGAATCATGTGAAAAATAGAGAAACAGAAGATAGATCTTTGGGTAGTACAACATACACAATGGGTGAGTGAGGTGGTGATTTGCCAGCTCTACACAGAATAAAATTATACTCTTAGGAGTTTTAAAGTCAATATACATGTTAATGTCAATCAACTAGAAATTACACTGGAAGAAATGCAGAAATAATATTTCAACAGGAGCTGAAATATGGAGGAATATGTGGAACATATGCAAGGGAAGGTAAGTGAACAGGCATGCAGACAAATTATGTGAAAGTATAAGTACTTTAACGTAAAGCTGATATGTTAGTGGGATGGAGTGTTGGTGGGAAGCAAGGAGAAGTAGTGTCAGAGTAAGCTTGAGTTATGAAATAAATGATGGGAAATGTATCTTTGAGTTACATAGTGCGATGGGATACAGTGAAAGGATTCATTGACAAAAAATGACCAATACAGAATTGGAAGTTTTTAAGTTTGTTTTTCTTTCAGTATCAAAACAGCTCACAAAGATGGGGAAGTTCATTTATCTCCATTTTGCATCTAACACATGGAGATTAGAGTGACTGTAAGGGTGGCTCTCTATAAAAGCACAGATTAGCTGCTTCTCTGTTACAAGAAGGAAGAGAACAGTCCTTCAATCTATTAGGGTAGTAATTATTCTAGTTAAATTTTCTTTGCCACAAGATGTGTCTTTACACATCTGGCTTTTATGCCAGCAAATCAAGGACAGATTTCCACAGCTCTGTTAGATATTCAGAAGAAAAGAGGAAGATAAAAAATGAAAAGTAAATCTTGGTACCTGCTTGCAAGATCAAAATATCTACTTTAATTTGAAATATTTGATTTTAAAGGTCAGATTTGCAGGTGCAGCAGCTGTCCTCTTAGCACTCACAAAATGTGTTAGAAGTGGTGCTGGTTAATATCACTTAATCCTCAAAATTACTTTCTTCACGGTGGCTGTCACACTTATGTCTTCATCTCTTCACTGTATAGTGCTTTATATTATTTTACCCCAGGAGGTTGGTAAGGGAAGCAAACATTGATTTGCTTGCAGTCTCTTTTACTAGTTTTCTGCAGCATCAGACTGTTCTACATGACCTCTGGTTACAGGATGCAGGCAGCCAAATGATAGAGCAACAACAGTGAGTGAAGTCAGCAGGCTAGAGCAAAATAGGGGGCCAGAGTTGTGAAGTTAGAGGATTTTAATTTATTTTTTTTCCATTTGGTGGACATGACATAGCCTATTACTTGTTGTTATTTATAAACTCAAGCAAAATTTATACTTGTATCATTAACAAAACTATTATTATTGAAAGGTTTACATCAGTGTAGTTAAAAGACAGTTTTAACATGTTGCCTTTAGTAAGTTGACCATGATCTGCTGAGTATCAAAAAAAAAAAAAAAAAAAAAGGCATGCTGGAGTATGGAAGGAAAGGGAGAAAAGGAAGAAAAGAGAATTATTTTTTTTTAGTTGAAAGACAGTTATACCAATCTGTTTCCTTTTTTTTTTTTTTTGTTTGTTTGATGTATGTTGGTTCTGCCCGTGGGAACCATCAAAGCAGTACATTTCAGAACAGCAAAATAATCTAGGGAGTTCAATTGGGACTGTTATCCCAGAGGTGAAAAAATGATTTGTGTTTACTTAGTCCACCCTCAGGGAAATGCGTTTTTTTGTTTGTTGAGTTGTATTTATTGGGAGGTTTTTGTGCTGGTTGGTTTGGTTATTTGGTTGTTTTTTTCCTAAGTCCTGCTGTAATCGATACTACTACACATGAGAGAAAAAAATAACATAAAATAATGAACAATATTATAACCTCAGAAAACTTTAGATGACCTACTTCTGTCAGGAAAATATAGGCAGACTATAACAAGGTTTAACAGCATTATGAATCTTTAAAATATTTCATATATAACAATCTGTCTGTGAAGGAATTAACATTTTTGTTTTCATACTGTATTAGAACAGTTCTGTGTCAAGTAATGTAATGAGATTGTATCCATTTATCAAGATTGAGGATGAGCATGGTTTTTGAGAGAAGCTAGGAAAATGGTGTGGGAAAAGTAGCAAATTCTTTGCAACTTGGCATCTTTAATTGTTAGCTCTAGGAGGCAGGTGGTTTTATAGTATAACTTGATCCTGTTCCCGGTTAAATCAGTGACTCTATTTTAACAGTGCAGATTTTATGAACTGCTAGTGTTTTGGCTAAATTATTATAATAGGTTTTTACCCAGTGTGGGTCATAATTTCTCTGTGCTCTGTGTACTCTGAGCACATCATTAATGTTTCCAATTTGCTAAAATAATATTCAAGAAATGATTCTGACTCACCTCCCCCCAATATTTTTTGATGTAATTTTGTAAGATGTTTCAGCCTTTATGTCGCATTAGTTATATGCGTTTTTCAAAAATTTATGTAATGTTACAGTATTTAAAAAATTACTAACAACATTATGTATCTGTTAGCATGCTTAGCATGGGAAAAACCATGCAGACAGCTGGTTTACAGCTTATCTCTTATGATTTTTTGCTTCAATTTCCAATGTGATATTTTTCAGAAATTATTTGCAGAAGGTCTGTTAAATGTGGATTGTACTTTTACCTTTTGAACCTTTTTCATGATTCTTTGTTTACAAAAATGTTAAGCTAGTTAAATTAGGCATTACTAACCTATACTAATCCTTCATCTTTTTTACATGAAAAAACAGCTACTTCTGTTAAGTGATAAGACATCAGCCAAAGAAACTTAAAAACTATGAAATTATGCATATTTTATATATTAGTGGAAGGTTTTCTTTGGTATTATTTATTTCTTTTTCTTTAATATGTATTCAGAGAGATTGTAAATAGATGGGAAGACTAATTAGCCTATTTTTAAATTTTGTATGGTTAAAACTGAAAGAGGTTAGAGCTTTAAGTTTTATTTTTTGTGACATACACTAATTCATTGGCTTCTTATTTATTTTTAATCACAGACTTACCAGAGATCCTTAAATAGGCTCTCAATACCTAATGGCATTTGTGGGGAAAAAAAAAAAAAAAAAACCAAACCCAAAACCAAACAAAAAAAACCCACCAAAAAAATACCCCCAATATTTTTAGGTTTTTTTGGGTTTTTTTAAATCTGAGGCATACATAATGTCTCCTTTAAAATCAGTTGATTGTTCAAAAATAGTTGATTATTTTTAAGAAAATATTACTGCAAAGTAGAGGAAAACTGAAGTGATGCAGATGTGGCTAAGTACATTTTTAGCTACAAAGTAATTAAATTACCTTCACTGATGTATTTTAGTATTCATCTTTTACACTTTTGCCCCAGTGTGTGACCCTCTTACTTATGTGTCCAGCAGGCTTCTCTTTTCTTTTTCCAGAATACAACCAACTTCCAATTTATTCTAAAGATATATTCAAATGCAAACTGTGATTTAAATGAAAATATTTTAAATTTCTTATTTTAAAATCTTCATGAGTTCATAAGGAATATATTGTGTTGAGGGAACACCTAGTGTGGCTATGACATATATCTAATCTTGAATACAAAGAACCAGTATTGTTTAGAGGAACTACATTTGTGGGGTGGACCTGAGACCAAGAAAAGAAACAGGCTTTGGAGTAACTTGTCGAAATGAAGGTAACTCTGGGAAATGAAATTAAAGTACTTGGTAAGGCAAATTTCCTTAAAGGTCACTTATCCTTGCATATGCCCAGCAATTTACTGTGCAGATAACTTGAAATGTGCAGACAACTTGAAATGTGAATTTTGGGGTTTGCACATCTGACTTAAATTTGATTTCTCTATGTTCATGTGCACATGGCTTTATTTCCCCTAGTTAATCGTTTCTTCCCTTGGAAATAAAGAGCCTTCATTTCAGACTTGCTTTTGTGCTTCTGTTTAATTTCAATTCAGTTGGTTTGTGATCTCTCCAGCCACCATTATTGCCTACAACCAGTCTTCCATGATCTTCGTTTTATGTATCAAATGCCGAAAATAGCATCGATACCTGTTGTTTTTGTGACTGCATGATGGAAAAAAACAGTTACTCATGCCTGGGAATAATTACGACCCAGTAACTTTAGTATAATTTATTCCCCCATTTATATCTGGAAATTGAAGTATTCCAGACTTGGTTTCATGTAATTAATATTTATGTCTTTGCACCTTTTTAGAAATTTCTGTCCAGATTATGATCTATGGCAGATAATT